TGAAAAATATACGACGTGGTATAGGAAAATTTACCTATCTTTTCAATCTTTTCATAGTAATAATATAAGTCCAATATATCTAAGATAGGAGACGAAAAATTAAAAGTGGCTAGGAGGACAGATAAGTCAAGATGGAAGGAGCAGTGGGGTCGAGTCGTCTTCAATAAAGAGAAGTCACTTATATGATCGCGAATGGTTAATTTAGAAATTCGGAAAAGGTGTATGTGTAAAGCACGGCGCTGTATGGGTGCGAAACATGGACGGTGGGTGTGGCGGAAAAGAAAAGGTTAAAAGGGTTCGAAATGTAGTGTTACGGGCGAATGATGAGGATACCGTGGATAGAGAAGGTTAGAAATGAAGAGGTGTTAGAAAGAATAGGAGAACAGAGGACTCTTTGGAAATTAATAAGAAATAAGTGAGATAGGTTGGTAGGACATCTTCAGGGGCATGAAGGACTAGTCAGAGACACATTAGAAACAGAAGCAGGAGTTAAAAGGCGTAGATTAGATTGCTATTCACAAATAGTTAAGGATGTGGGATGTTGTAGTTTTTAGGAATTGCAAAGATTGGGTCAGGATAGGAAAGAATGGAGGTGCGTGTCCAACCAGTCTTAGGACTGTCGACCAAATGATAATGGTGTTGATTTCTATGCAATTAATAGGTTTTGAGAATTCGGTTACTTCAGGACAGTTTTTAGAGAATCAGGAAGTATTTTCAAATGGACAGCGTAATTGAGAAAGCATATTCTTCACATATGTTCATCAAATTATGCTGTCTGACTCGTAACATAAAAAGAAAGTACTACACTTACTTAAAAAAAATATGATTTTTTTTTTAATTTTCGGGGTAACATAGTGTCAAAGTAATAGAGAAACGTGTTTAAAACCGTGGTATGTCATGTCCTCTTTTGTTAGAGGTCTGTATTTTCGTGAAAATTCCTGTGTAAATATGGCCTCCCAGCGTTCTGTATTCGTTGAATGAATTCATTTTGTTTGCGTGGGTGGCGTGCAATGTGCAAAATCTCGTGAACCATGCCACTTTTCCAGACTGACAGCTGACAATATTTGTTTACAACAACGTAAAATCGTTCGTCAGTCTTGCAAATAACTGCAACACACACCACGCATAGTACATATCGCCGATGGTGCACACAAAATGACCCTAAAGTCCATACATATGTACAGACACATGCCCATGTTAATAAGTGTTTTTTGTGCTAATAGTGATGTGTCACTGAATGCACCAAATAACAATAACAATTCAGCGTCAGAGTCTCCATAGACACCATACAGTTGACGTAGCGTCTCCCTATGTAAGTATGTATAGATACACTAATGGCGAGTTGAGAGCCGACCGTACAGATATCATTAAACAGGCATATTAGAGGCAGAAACAGGAGTTATAAGGAGTAGAGGTAGACCTAGATTAGATTACTGTTCGCAAATAGTTAAGGATGTGGGATGTTCCAGTTTTAGGGAAATGTGAAGATTAATTCAGGATAGGAAGGAGTAGAGGTGCGTGCCCAACCATGATGATGAAAGGTCCAACAAATGCAATTTATAGACCTTGAGGGATGATAGGTATCTACGCTTTGTTCAAAAGAATTTAGGGTAAAGGTCTAGAAGGTCTTCGGGGGTGGGGGGATCGAAAGAGGAGGTCTTCCCTACCACTGTACCATAAAAAGTTCGTGGCGGTGTCACCCCCATAAAATGTTATGGGTGTTAGATTATGGCCCCTACCTCCCTTCGGGGGTAGGGGTCGGAGGGATCGAAAGAGGGTGGTCACCTCAGTAAAACCCCATAAAAACTTTTCGGCGGTCTCACCCCCATAAAAGGTTATGGGGGTTGAAAGTTGATTATTTTGACAATTTTCATACAGTATAATTCAAATAAAATTCAATAAAATAATTATTTTCAAGCGGGTGGAGGTGGGGGATCGAAAGAGGGTGGTCACTTGAACAAAACCCGATAACCTAACCTAACCTAACCTAACCTACCCTATTGATAAAGATATTTAAATAATGTTTTATATAACTTTCTCAATATTTTTATGTATTTTTCATTAGTTTTACCTTTGAATATTGTTTAAGAATGACTATATAAATATTTACATGTCTAGAAATATATAAAAATTGGCATATTTATTAACTTTGAACCCCCATAACTTTTTTTGGAGGTGAGACCGCCACGAACTTATTATGGTACAGTGGTGGGGGAGACCTCTTTCGATCCCCCCACCCCCACCCATCTAGATCTTTACCGAATTTAGGTGTTTGAATGGAATAGGACAGTTTTTAAATGGGTAGGCATAGACGTAGATAGGACACTGCCCCACCCCCTCCCCTGGCAAGCTCATTGTCCGGCCTGGAAAAGGCTCTGACGATATCGGCACAGTTTAAAAACATAGAAACCAAACACATTAAACCTATTTAAACTTACAGCTATTGAAAATACGTCCCTCCTACAAAAAATCTCTTGCTATTTTCAGATTGATGTGATAGTTGAAAAAAACGCATTCTACATTTGTAATTACTATGTTACAATTTGCCTTACCTGTAGATATATCCGTCATTTCGACGTCGTTCGTCGAAAATATTTTTTCGCTTACGGTGTGCTTGACCTTAGTCAATAAAAAAAAAAGTACGGCGCACGTGAATAACCCGGCGAGTGAGACAGATGATGAGAGGAGTGTGAAGTCTACCCGGAGGGGCACGCGGGGGCCACGACTTACTGGCGTACTTTTAATAGTCTAGTTATACGGCAGTATTTGACAAGAATACTTATATCAAGCGTGAAGTAAAAAAAAAAAATTAAGTGACAGATTTTTTTAAAACCCTCTCATACAAGTTATTTAGGTACAAAGGTTTATTGAAATAAAGATTGTTTTTGTGTCAGTGAGTGAATGGTAGGTAGGTACTAGCCAAACTTTTGATTACTTACCGAATAGGGACAGGATTGGGACGATAATAGGGACCAAAAATAAGAGGTAAGGGAACTTGTATGTCCATGGGTGAGAGTATTAAAAAATGTTCAAAAATTTTCTCATAATTTTTTGAGAGCCACTAGTATGTATTTTTTTGTATATCGGTTATTGGTTAGGTGCATCAATTTTGCTATGAACTGTACATTTACAATAAGTGCAGTGCATCATCAATGCGTTAGTAAACAAGTTGAAGCGTTTACAAAAGGAAATTGGTATAACGACCTATCGGCACATGAATCGTACGGATACACACTCAAAGTACAGAGTGAATACCCGCAATAAAATTTAAGGAATTTTGCGGATTTATATGCATCAACAAGTTAATGAAAAATGAAAAAAAATGCTCTTTGAGTCGGTTAGGTCCAGGGCTAGATTCATACTCCCCGACACACAGTCCTGGCGATGACCCTCCCCCCACACGTAAACGTTTGATGGGAAAAGGGCCAGTTATTACAAACTTTTAAAACTACCTGAATCTATTCGTTTGAGGTTAGGTTGGGTTAGTGTGTAACCACCTTCTGCATCAGTGGCGTAACTTAAAGTCGCCTTCACACTGTTGGGTGACAAAATATAATACTTTTGGGGGTGTACTTTATGACATTGCACTGTTTTACACATTCTCCCTCTCAAGCGTCTTAGTTGGCCCCTTTTTGAAACCAGCACTGTCTTGAGAAACGCCTAGACAGAATTGAAAGCGGCGACTTAATTGAACTGGAAGATTTAATTTGTGCCTTAATAACACGTATGATTTTCATGCAGTGTTTCGTACATAAAAAACTTTAGAGTGTATTATACCGTTTCATACGGTGTTCGCTTATCTATTGTTTGAGGTAGACGTAAAAATTACAAAACCATCTACCTACACGGTTAGTTTGTTTTTGTTGCTTATGTAGCAGCCGGCTTTTGTTTTCCCACGAGAGATTTTATCAGAGTTAGATAATACAATTGTCTGTGGCCTTGTCTTTTGTCGGGGTTAACAATTTTTTAGTTATACGTATATATTTGTCATTATTTATCTCACTGTTTTGTTTATTTACAACGTAAACAAAACGTTTCTGTATGTATTACTTGCATTACGCGATGCGTGACGATAGGCCAACCTAACATACCCAGACATGAGGAATGTTTGTCACTTATGTGTCTAAAGTGATCAAAATACCTCGGTACCTGTCGTAACGAAATTCAGGTACTCCTAAAATCTGTTAACTTCTTACCCTAAAAGAAATGAAAAATTATGCATCAAGGGAAGAATATGTGATGTTGCCTCCCGGATGTGAAAGTGCTATAATTTCTTTCTTAATTCACGCAATATATATGTCCTTACTTATTTATTTTTTTGATCCTTTTTATGCCCCTCTGGACTACCACTGTGATTTTAAATACCTAAGAGTTGTAATAGGTACAGTACCTATATTTACAGAGAAATCAAAAAGTATATACAGTAGAATTCGCTTATAATGATATCGAAGGGAAACAAACACGTTGTACTAAGCGGGCGTTATACAAAGCATAGTCTTAGAAAATAAACAACTTTCTATGAAGGGTCAGAAAAATGAGCGAAAATGTTATTATTAATCATTTGGGTTACTATAGCCGGATATGATTTCTTGAGAATCAGTCATAGTAAACGATATGTCATTTTAAACGGAGTCATTATATCCAAACTTTTCTATAGAGAATTTAATATGAAAACCAAACTTAACATTGCAATTACTTCGTATTAAACGGTTGGTCAATATAGTCATTATATCCAAACTTTCCTATAGAGAATTTAATATGAAAACCAAACTTAACATTGCAATTACTTCGTATTAAGCGGTGAGAGGAAGGATTATAAGATTAAGGGTCTTATAGACAAGGGACCTCAATTTTTCATATGAACACTATTCTTTTTTGTTTCAAAAAAATTAAAACGATACTGAAAATTAGGTACTTAGGAAATGTGAAAGTAGAAAAAAAATTTTGTTATATTTAAGTAAAAGTGTATATCCAAAAAAATTTTTTTTTATTTATTACAGATGAAGTTACTTTTGCGATTGGTTCTACGTTATGTGCGTAATAGTCAGGCTGCAATATCCACACCTACATGGAGGTACCTCTATCTACCAGCAATGGTTCGGAATTTAATCGAAAAGGTAAATACTTTTGATACCTTTTACTATTCTCAAAAATACATGTTGGAAGTTTTTGAAATTAGTTTTGAACAAAAAAATCTATGACTGTTAGTGTGTACAAGCATGCGTATATGAGTATGTACCTATAGCTAGTTCAGAATGTCATAAGCCTTCATATATGCGAAAGGCGGAGCTTGGATTCGTGTTATGTACAAACATTTCGATAACATTGGTACAATACAGCCGGGAATAGGGCTCGAAATAAACAGCAAACAGTAATGTCGGTTAATATTTTTATAGCAGGTAGAAATGAGTGTTGACATATGATTTTATTGGAGAATATGCTAGAATAGTATGGGTAGAAAAGGTTAGAAATGAGGAGGTATCAGAATTAGTAGGAGAACAGAGGGCCGCAGCCGAATTGCATCCCAATGTCATAATATTTATCTGATCTAAAAAAATCGGTTGTTTGTAAAGTCGGTTTACTGACGATAGTTGAACGTGACAACGTCATAAGAAAATACTGGTGGAATGGTTTCATTTTTCAAAAGAAAATTTTAATTTTATTTGTTTGATAGATATTTTGTATGGATATAGAGAAGGAGGTAAATGGAAATGTATTATTGTATAGCAGCTGTCCACGCGGAC